GTCTTGGTGTTATCATCTCTTCCAGATTTTCCTTTTGGGTGATTTTTGTTCCATAATATTCCTTCATAGCTTTTGGTTATCTTTTCTGGTTTAGTCATATCCCTAGCCTCAGTTTTGATCTGTGACCTTGTGCCAGGGCACAGCTCTTCTACCTCTCGTACACTTGGATGGGCTGGTCAAGGCCCTAATCTTACTTTCCTTGTTTTCTGCTTCTGTTTTCCATTTCCTTTAGTGTACCTGTGCTCAGAACATTGACAGGTTTCATCATCTCCTGTCATAGCTCAGTGGGTGGTTTTCCCTGATATACTGTGCAATCTTCTGTGTCCTCTGGAGTTCCATGATCAGAATTCCAGCTGGTCTCTTCCCTCCCCTAGTCAGAGCACTGCCACACCTTCCTCATTTGGGGTGCTCCCATGGGTTTCCAGTCCACTTAACTATACTGATGTTCTACTAATGCCCACAGATGTCTGCTCTCTTTGGATAGCCCTAGGCTGGATGAAAGAGCTTACTAATATTTCTTTTGGGACTTGTTGGTCTTACTCAATCTGATGCTCTTTCTAGACATTTGCAGGAATAAAAGTGACCTTTTTTGTGATCTATCATGCTTCTGTCCTAATCAAAAGACACTTCACGATTATTAATTTTTTACTTCCCTCTGTTACATCCTCTTATACTTTTTCTTCTCTTTGCCATTCATTCCCCTCTTTAGAAAGAAGGTGGTGAATGATGGAGAATGTGATCAATCTATTAATTGTTAGTCTTAATTAAATTTAAAAAACAGTTAATTAACTGTTAATCTATATTTGAAGCAGAGTGCTCCCACTCCATCGCCTCTCATCGCTCTACCTCTCTCAGAACCCAGACATGGTTCTTTCCATTTCTTCCTTTCCATTTCTCCTTTAATCTTTATAGGGATGATTTCTGGTTTGTACTTATTACTGTGACTTTTATATATTTTGTCTCAGTTTATCCTTAAAAGCCCAAATGGTAAACCCCCAAAAAAGTAACTCCACAGTGACACTCAAAGCTTGAGAAAAAAGAGAGAGAGTCTCAAATCCAAGAACTACATGAGTACCTGGAAGAAATGAAGGAAGAGATGAAAAATGAATTTTTCATGAAATAAAAGCTCTGGAGGAAAAAAAAACTGCAAAGAGAATAAATAGCTTAGAACAGAAGAGCCATGTTCTCAAAAGTTCTAGCAGACTTCAGGCCCCTCCATTTGAACACTGGTTATCTTGTACCCAGAGCTTTCCTGGTCAGAGTTCTGAGGACTTCTGTGCTCTCTGGAATGTCCCTGATCTGAGCATTAGCAGATTTGTGCTGTCTTCCCTGCATATTCCTCTTTTATACCTACAGGCCTTTGGGCGGCTTTTTGTGCAGTTTGAATTGAGGAGTTTACTGTTTTGTTTGGGATTTTTCTCTTTGGATTTCTTTTTCATTATTCAGTCCATTACCCTTTTAGATTTTTGCTGGACTATATTTGGGAGATTTGGATGCTTCTACAGCCTTTCATAATATCATTTAAGCAGCCAGATTATTTGCTTAAAATTTAATTTGTTGCAACTGGTGATGCTAGCCTGTAGAACTCTGATTTCCCAATCAGTACCAGGAATAAGCTGCAGTAACATAGATTATATAAATTTACATATTAATAGTAGCAATTTACATTTATATAGTGTTTTATAGTCAAAGAGCACTTTACACTTATTTTGATATTTCCATTTATTTTGATATTCTACTATAATCCATACCATAGTAGTTTCATGAGTTGCTGTGGCTGAAAAATTTCATCACCTGAGAGTCAACCCCCCTGTGATGGCCCTGTCACTCTAGGTATGTGGTGCAGTGGATAGAGTACTACACCTAAAGTCAGGAAGACCCGAGTTCAAATGTGGTGTCAGACACTTACTAGCTGTGTGACTGTGGGCAAGTCTCTTAACCCTGTTTACCTCAGTTTCCTCATCCATAAAATGAGCAGGAGAAAAAACGGCAAACCACTCCATTATCTTTGCCAAGAAAACCCCAAATGGGACCACAAAGAGTCTGAAACAACTGAACAAAGAAACCCTTTGAGGTAGGTAGTGCAAATATTGTAATTACCATTTTATAGACAAGGAAACAGAATCTCGTAAAGATTGCGCCTCAGATTATTTGTATCTAGAGCTTCTGACTTCTGTTTCATTGTTGTTAGAATGCCCCTCTGCCTTGGTAAACTGGCTGTTGTTCTCAGTAAGTCAATAAACATTTATTAAGTGCCTACTACGTGCCAGGCACTGTGGTAAGTACTAAGTATACAAAGAAAGACAAAAGACAGTCCCTATTCTGAAGGAGCTCATGGTATAATGCGGGAAACAACATACATAGATAAACAAAATTCATGCAGGATAAATTGAAGATGATAAAGGAAAAGCATTAGCATTAAGAGGTGTAGGAAGGGCTTCTCCATAGATGACGGAATTTCAACCGGGTATTGAAGGAAACCAGAGAAAGCAGGAGACAGAAATGGAGGAGAGTGGTCCAGGCATGAGGAGAATAACCAGTAACAATGCCCAGAGTTTGGATATGGAGTGTTTGGTGTGAGGAACTGCAAGGAGGTCAGTTCTCTTTCATATTTCAAAGTTGATTCTTAAATTACTTATAACAACCGAAAGGAAGACATTCTTTGGATAATTAAAAAAAAAACCAGTATCTAAAATGACCATTCATATTTTGTTGTGGTATGCATCAGATAATTTTGTAATACAATAATTAGTCTAACTAATATTAGCTCCTATTCTGAGGGTAGAGGTGCATAAAGGGAAGAAGTGGTGGCCTGGGAGCTTTTTGGGTGAATGGAAAAAAACAAACAAACTTATATTTGACCCAGTGTTTAAAATTAGCCACATATGATCCCTAAGGTAGCTTAATATTGCCAAGTAGGTAATGGAGAATGATCTACCTGAAAACTGAAGATTCACATAAAATCTTTTTCTTTAGTAAGTTCAATATAATTCAGTATATATACTGTCAGGAAGTTACATCCCTTCTGTGATATATGATTTCATCTGTGACTAGCTCAAGAGTTAGAGGACTTGTATTCAAATCTTCTTTCTGATGCTTACTACTTGTGTGACCTCAGGCTAGTCGTTAAAACTCCCTGGGCCTCAGTTTCCTTGTCTGTAAAATGGGAGAGTTGTACTAGACAGCTACTGGGTTCCTCCTGATTATCCTATAATTCTACTATAATCCATACCATAGTAGTTTCATGAGTTGTAGTGGCTGAAAAATTTCATCACCTGAGAGTCAACCCCTCATGATGTTTAATAAATCTCTGTGGACTTGGTTAGTTTGGTCCTCGGACAGCAGATTAGATTAAAGTATGTTGCTGAGAGCCCATTATGGACTACACTAGCTTGAAATATTTAGCCATCTGTACATCGTCCAAAAGATTATTCCTTGTTCTATTAAGCTTTATGTTTGCCATGCTTTTGTGTTTAATATGTGTGTTAAACTTTGTGGAAATTATGTTGATGTTATATGTGCTAGTTTTAGAGGTACTTAAAAAGGTCCAGTGTTCTGGTCTGTTATCCATTCTTTTTACTGTTGAAGAAAAAGAAAACCCAAATGTGTTTAAGAATCTGCTGTTAATTTCTGCAATGATCATTTCTGGTTTGTGTTTATAGAATATTAAATAATCTCAGAGTTCCATGTGTACAGCTAAATTTTGTTACAAATTTTGTCTGCATTTTTGGCAAATCATGTAAAAATGTAGATTTACAATACTGATGACTCTTAGGAGTAATTACTTGTTTTACAAAAGTTTGTTTTTCCAAAGGATTCACAATTGTGTTCTCTTAAGTAGAGAACACAAGTTCTCTGGTGCATTTTTAAAAATTTATACACATCTCCAGGAACACCTTGTTTCAAAAAAAAGAAAAAAACCAAGAGACAACTGTATAAAATCTCGCCTGTGGCTGATTTTATAATTAAGAGAAGAAATGAATTATTAAATGATTAAATTTTCTCCATTAGTAATCATAAAATGCAAAGAGGTACATTGTGCTATATTTTTGCTGCTTCTCATTTCCATATGAATCATCTGGTTGGGAATGTGCACATTTCCTCATACACTTCATCATCATCTACATATTTGAAATATGCATAATAGCAGCAGTAAATATATGTCTGTTTCTTAACATCATAAAATACTAGAACTCAAAAAGAACCTTGGATAACATCTGGTCCAACCCAGAATCCCCAAATATTATCTCTACAGGAACCTTAGAGATCCCCTCATTTTATAGAGGAAGAAATAGGACTACAGAGGCAAATGGCAAGGCTAAGGTCAAATGGCCAGGCAGTGATAGAGGTGGGTACTCAAACCTAGGTCTTCTGACTCTGAATTCTGTCCAGTATTCTCTTCTCTTTACCAAACAGAAGGGAGGGAAAAAAAACACCTCATTTTACTATTCCTTCTGTGATTTTCACTTTCTCCCTTAATTTTACACTGTTGATTCCTAGTCTTCATTGCTATTAAAGCCCAGTGTCCAAAATAGAATCCATTACCTGTAACTCCCACAATTATATAAGTGTAATTAACTTTGGGGTGGGGAGGGGGAGGGAGCTAAATTTTAAACTTAAAATTTTTAAGGATAGCACAAACAAATCAATAGTCCTGGCCACAGGGCTGCTCTTTGGGCCTGGGTTAGGACCAAATTAGTCAGTCATTTTGAAGCATTTGATGATGTTATAGGAAAAGGTAATGAAGTGTTTTGTTTGGAGTTCAGTTTGTAAAAATAGGCTTCTGTTTTGTACAGATTCTTAATCACATTGTTACCTTTATTAAAAAAAAATCCTCTAGCTAAATACAGTACAAACATGAAAACTCAAGTAATGTGGGCCATTTGAATCCTCTAACTTGGGTTTAACTTTTTTCATTGTGGTTAATGAATGTTCAGCTTTTCTGTTTGTCCTCTTTTAACCATTTCAGTTTCTGATTTATTCTGTCTTACTGTTTTTAGAAGGAATTCTGGGACACCTACACAAAGGAACATCAGGGAGAAAGTAGCAAAGGAAGTAACTGGTATCCATTTTACCTTGCATTTCCATTAATCATTGGCCTTTTTGTTATACTCCTCATCATATTCATAACTTGGAGATATCTCCTAAAAAAGAAAACTCGAAGACAAACCATGTACATGAGGCGGGGAGCTCTGGAAGCCAGTAGTGATGGCACCATGACAGATGGTCGAGGCCCTCTCCCATCCCACCTCAGCATTGCTCATTCCCCACAGGAAGAACTATTTGACAGCGGTGGGCTGTCCCCAGGATTCCTGGGTTACGTAGGTGGGCGCTCAGATTCTGTCTCTACACGTCTCTCTAACTGCGATCCACCACCTACCTACGAGGAAGCCACTGGTCAGACAAACCTGAGAAGAAGTGAAACAGAACCTCATTTAGATCCACCCCCCCAATATGATGACATCATGAACTCCAGCTCAGCCAATGCCATTGCCATGGTACCCGTTGTCACCACCATCAAGTAAAGCAGAAAAGAGTCTTCATTTTTCTGGTTCTTTTTAAACTACTAATGGGAGAATTTTGTAGCACTTTATCACTGCATAATCATGCATTTACATAACTTATTGTACCTTCAAAGCATACCACTTCCCCCCTCCCATATCATTTTCCTTCTTGGTTTTTGTTTCTTTCTTTTCAGGTTTTATCAGTGCTCATTTTGGCTAGTGGGGAGATAGGAACCCACAGCAGTGTTCATATGGGAGTGCATATAAATGCCAACACAATATATATGCAACTGGCTTAAAAAATCCATCTATCTTAGTCATCTAGGAAGGGAGACTCACCAGAAGCTGCAAAGTGTAACACTTAACTATATTTGCAGATTAGAAAGCCAGCAACATGATGTTGAGTTTTGCAAGTAGGAATGCTAGATTAACTTTCCTTACTAACTTCCCATTTACCTTAAAAGGAAAATGCATGTGGTAATCTGAATTTAGACACTTCGGACAGAGATAGCAATAAATGATAAAGTGCTAACAACTTTTAACTAGTATGATAATTGGTTATTAATATTTCAGGGTTTGTGGTATATTTGGTAAAGAACCGAACAGTGTTTATGTATTTCTAGATGACTTTGGTCATATTTATTCATTTCGTGCTTTCTTTTTCCTTTTGCCATGAGATAATTTGTGACGTGGATATAGAAATCTGTTACAGCATGATATATTGCTCAAATTTGATCTTAATTCCCTCCTTACTTCTCCCTCCATTAACACCATCCCAAACTTTTATCCCCTCCCACTCAGCTTTTCCCCATTTTCTTAGGAATATAATTAAGATTAAAAACTCTGAAAGAAAATTATTTTGTTACAGTTACAGGTTAGGCTGAAGTCATTGCCTCAGGCTTATAGGGAGGCAATTTCCCGTCAAGTTACATATAAAAAGAATTAAAGCACTGTGATTTTTATATTGGTTTTCTATTGATGGAGAAAGACTGCAAAATCTGTGTAGTGCCAGGGGCAAATTGGAATCCAATTACAGCCTCATATAGGTCTTTAATTGTCACTGTTTTCTTTTTGTGTTGTTGTGTTTTGGGGGGACTACAGGTATAACTCCCCAAAAGTAGGGAGTTGATGTTATGTTCCCCCAGGCAGAATGTTTGAGAAAGTAATGCAAACCTTTTGTCTTGGCAGCTGTGCTGGTCCCTGCAGTCAGGTGTGAGTTTCTGTGTTGCACTGTTGTGAAATTGATCAGCCCTGTCCACCTGAATGTTTTCATGCAGCCCCATTCCCATGTTCTCAAACACTTCTCCACACCACCATAAACGCCAGTCCCCACGGAGTCAAAGGGAGTTGTTTCCTGGATAAAAGAAATGCATATTTGGCGTAAACATAGATGAGAAAGATGATGGCTTTGAACCAAGTAGATTGTGAGTTAGTGAGAGGTTCCAGCAATAGCAGTCCATTGCCCGGGAACTGTGAATCATTAATTCATAGTGCTTTCACACAGTCAAGAGGGTAAAACAAACTTCTCTTGACCTTGCCACCACCAGTATACTTCATTCAGCCTTGGTCCCACTTATCTTCTACCATTTGTTACTGTGCTGATATCTGGATTGCTTGCTCAGCAATAACTGTCCAAAGGTCCAGGGAAATTTTTATAAGTGACTTTAAATTCAAAAGTTACAAAAGAACTCAATTATGGACTACAGCCTTGACACTAAGGATGCTGTTTTCTTGAGTCTCATGAACATGGCTATAAATATATACTAGACAGAGTTGCCTTCTCTATAGAATGAGGGAGTGGGATTATATGGCCTCTGAGATGTCTTCCAGTACATAATCTAATACCCTTGATCTTTGGCATTTTTTAGAGGTTAACCATTAGGAATTTTTACTTCAAAAGTTTTTGGGGTTTTTTTTTAATTGTTCTGTAGAAGATGGCCAAAACTCTTCTTAGATAATTAGCATAGAGCAGGACTTGGGTTGGACCAGTAACTAGAAGGAATTGAAGGACAAGAGCCAGGTGTACCATGACTAAATACAGGCCTGAATTATGTTGATTTCCAATTTTAAGCTCCTGGGCTTAATTTTACTGCTGCTTTTTATGAATATCCAAACTGCAATACAGAATGGATTTCGGCCTTTTGAAATAAAAGGCCAAATCCTTACATATATCAATCAGTGACTACAACTTTCGATCAGAGAAAACCCTCTACATGACTGATAAAAGGCAACAAGCCAGAAATGTCTGTGAAAGAGGACAGACGGGGAAAATACCACCTGTTTTGTTTAAAATTCATTTAGGATTTGGTCTTTCCACCCTCATCCTGAAATGAAAATCCAGTTTTATAGACTCAATTTCTTAACATTTGCAGAAGACAAGGGGCTCATTCAATGTAGCAATATATTTTTTATGTTTATGCCTTTCCAATCTGATTGATATTGCATTTGCCTTCAATGGTTTTTAATAAAGGTTTATTTTTGCAGAATATATTAACTACCTTTCTTAAATTAACTAAATTGAATCGTTTTTGCATTAAATAACTGAAGTAGAATTTACAGCCTTAGCCCTGGATGTTTTACAAACCTCCCACGTGCTATGACTGTGTTTGTGGACCTCTAAGACAAGCAACCTTGCCTTCTTTGAATGTAACAATGAGTTGTATCATATGCAAACAATAAAGTGATTTCTGATTTTCTGATGACCCATGTGGATAGAGGCACTGTTGTTGTTCATTCAATAGCTGAATGATAACTTCAAGATTGGTTACCTGACTGATACCTGTGGAGGTCATTCTAACTTGGTTTTGTGTAAATAACATGTATTTGATCACAAGATTTAATATTTGAAGACATTTGGTTTACATTAAATTATGGTATTTAAACATTTTGTTTATGCTCATAAAGATGAGATTTTTCTTTGTCTCTGTGATTTTTGGTATGCTAAATAAAGCTATTTTTAAAACCAAGAAATTCTTTATGCCAAGTATCAATATCACAACATTATAGTAGCCAATAAAAATGATACTGCATACAGTCTCCTTCCAATAGATTTTTCCTAGGAATTTTGATTTTAGCAGAGAAAATCTCTAAATTTTCAATCTTGGAGTGTATCTCCAAATTTTTCCTCTTAAAGAAATCAGAGAATAGCTGGTGAAATGTAACACTGGCATATTCTAAGTCAGAGTTTAAAATATTGAAAGAAACACTTTTCTTTGAAAGTTGGCATAAAATGGTCCTGGAATGATATAAACTGGAATCACTCCTTTCCAAAGGATAGGATTGCATTTGTCTGCTTTCATGTACTTTGTCAGTATGTGAGAATGGCAAAAAATGGAGCTTCTTAAGAACTGGCTAAGTTTGCCTAACAGAAGTAAAGACTTCTGTTCGGCAGATGAAAAATGGCAACCAAGGATGAAAATCTTTGTGACTACACAAAATTTCTTCAGTTTATTCCCACTGAAGATGGAAAAGTGATTCACTATGTCACAAATCAGTTAAAAGTAAGTATTCATATCTGAACAGTATGGAATAAAAGGGTTTCAAACATCTTCCTTTCCTCTTTAGATTTAGATATATTTGTTAATCTTAAAGATGATGTACTTTTCATAGAACCATAGAATTGGATGGGGTCTTCTAGACCAACTGTTCTTAAGCTGGGATCTATAAACTTTTAAAAAATATTTTGATAACTATTATGACATAATTGGGTCAGCTAGGTTGTGAAATGGATAGAGTAGTGGGTGTTCACCCAATGGGGGTGTACAGCTTTGATGGAGGGGCAATGGTGTTAAATCTAACACTGTCT